GTCCAGCCCCCGGGTCAGCCTCCTCCCGTAGCCACAACAGCCAGGCCTAGCTCCTTGTCCCGTTCTGGGCCCTACCGAGGCTGGGGAGCAAGTCTGGAGAAACTCACCCAGCTGCGCAGATTCCTGGCCCCTAAACTCCTAGTCTCCAGCCTCAGAGAGGGCCCGACGGCATCCAATAACCCTGCAGTCCGACCACCGGTTGGCCCCAAATCTCCCACCCGCCACCCCGGAATGAAATGGAAGCTTGGCGGGAAGCTGCGTCTGCTCATCCTCAAATCCACAACTCTATAGCCCCTGCGTCCAGTTCTCTGCCCTCTCTACTGGTACAGGGAAGCCTTCAAGGTCTCATCTGCTTTCCTACATGTCCCAGGATACTTCCCCCAAAACATTAAACCCCCTTTCCTTCACCCCACGCTACTCCATCCTTGACCCCACGGAGCAGTCCCACGTCACCACCCCCACCAGCCAGTTTCTCAGGCCTTGTCTCCAGCCGGGTCTACACCCCTTAGTCTTCCACCCAGGCCAGTCGGGCTCTGTCCATACCATCTCCAGAGTTCATTCTGCCCAACCTTGCTGATGACCTCGACTTTGTCAAATTCTGTGAAGACAGTTTCATCCTCAATTTAGAAGTTTGGAGGGCTTACTGGGGACTTCTGGTTAATACCTTCCTTTCTTGATGTCTGAAAATATACTGTGTGGCTTACAGATAGATGCAACAGACTACTTGGCTTATACCCCAGCTGTCACTTCCTGGCTGTGTAGGTGTCACCCCTCTGTGCCTCATTTTCCCGATTTACAAATGAGTTGCTCTCAGGGTCAACCTGTGAGGCGTTTACAACCCTGTTGTTGGGGGAGGGGGCTCAGTGCATGTTAGCTGACTAGGGCAACACAGTCACATTCCCACATTTCCCACCTTGCTGGCTCTTTTGCTGCCTCTACTCCGGCATCAGTGAGAACACTTTGGGTTGCAAGTGACAGAACCTGCTGACTCAACTCCTGTCACAAGAGGTCTCAGTGTAGGGTTGCCTGGGCCTTGTGAATCTGGCGGCTTGGTGATGGAGCCGACCCTCTCTGTGAATGGCTCTGCCCCTCCCAGCTTGCCTCCTGGTTGCAGGATTGCTGCTGTGGCCCCAGACCTCCCACCTCTTCCCATGTATCCCTGTGGATGCCCATGGAAACCTCTCCCAGCAGACCGCCCTCATAGAACCACATCACGCACACACACCTAAACCATCTGCAATGCCCATGAATACAATGCTCACCATTAGATCAGGGAGACAGATAGGGTCAACTAACTATCCACACAAGTCAGAGTTCTGCTAGGAAAGGGGCAGCAGTCAGTGTCAGGAGGGCCACCGTGATGTCTGCTGTGCCCTCCTCCTCCCAGCCCTGGTCAATCCTTCATCTCTCCCCATTCTCACCTTTGGTGATCTCCTCCAGCCTTGGAGCTTCAGACATCGTCTCTGTGACAATCACTTCCAAATTTATACCTCCATGCTGACCTCTCCCTCTGCTCCAGGCTTGTATTTCCTGAAGCTAGCCCCATTTTCCATTTGGATGACCAATAAACATCTCCTGGTCACTATGTCAGGAATGAACTCAAGATTGTCTTCTCAAAATCTATTCCTTGCCTAGTGTCATGGATTTAATTGTGTCCCCCGAAAATACGTGTCAACTTGGCTAGGCCATAATTCCCAAGATTGTGTTTGTCCACCATTGTGTCATCAGATGTGATTTTCCTGTGTGTTGTAAATCCTACCTCTATGATGTTAATGAGGTGAGATTAGTGGCAGTTATGTTAATGAGGCAGGATTCAATCTACAAGTTTAGATTGTGTCTTAAATCAATCTCTTTTGAGATATAAAAGAGAGAAGAGAGCAGAGAGACAGGGAGACCTCATACCACCAAGAAAGCAGTACCAGGAGCAGAGCATGTCCTTTGGACTCAGGGTTCCTGCGCAGAGAAGCTCCTAGACCAAGGGAAGATTGATGACGAGGACCTTCCTCCAGAGCTGACAGAGAGAGAAAGTCTTCCCCTGAAGCTGGCTCCCTGAAGCTGGATTTACAGCCTACTATTTTGTGAGACAATAAACTTCTGTTTGTTAAAGCCATCCATTTGTGGTGTTTCTGTGATAGCACCAGTAGATAACTAAGACACCTAGTGTTCCCCACCTTGGTAAATGGACAACCTACCCACCTGTCTACCTCAGTAAATACACCATCTCTCCACCTGTCCACCTCTGCATATACCCCACTCTTCACCATTCCACCCTGGTAAATAGTCTCCCACGGTGGTTCTCAAACACATCAGCAGATTCTGTGACACTCCTCCCTTCAAGAGGTGGAGTCTAATTTCCTTCTCCTTGAACATGGGCTGCCGTAATGACTTGCTTCTAACCAACAGAATGTAACAGAAGTGGCACAGAGTGATTCTAGAGCCTGGTCATACACCATACACATGGGCGATACAGCTCGCCTCTCTCAGGATGCTTGCCTTTGGAATCCGGCCACCGTGCTGTGAGGAAGCACAAGCAACCACAAGGAGGGGACATGCGTAGGTGTTCCAACGACCAGTTCCAGCTGAAGGACTAGCCAACAACCACATCTTGCACCTTCAAGTGAGTGAGGATGACTTTGCGATGACTCTAGTCCAGCCACTATCTAACTGCAAAATGAGAGTCATCTAGCTGTGCCCAGTCAACCTCCCAACTATGAAGGGTAATAATAATAGATGTGAATGTTTCAAGTGAAGTGCTGCCACTACAAAACTTAAACCCTGTGGTGCTGGCTTTGGAACTGGGAAGTGAGTAGAGCTAGAAGGGCCTTGCTGAGGCTGACAGTGAGGACTCAGAGGAAAGTGGGGACAATTTTATTGAAAGATGGAGGAAAGGAGACCGTTGTTATGTAGTGGTGGAAAGTTTAGCAACACTGTCACTGTGGTGGAGTGGGAAATGGAAAATGTATCTAATGAATGAGATGATCTAGGTGAGATTTCTAGGCAGAATGTTGAAGGTGCTGCCTGGCTTCTAGCTGCCTACAATAAAATGAGAGGAGAGAACTGTGCTAAAGAATGAGCTGTTAGAAAGAAGCCAGCTTATAAAGTTACACTTACACTTGTGTTATGAACCAGGGTATGTACCCCAGAGAAATGAAGACTCATGTTCACACAAAAAGCTGTACAAAATGTTTAGAGCAGCTCTATTCATAATCGCCAGAGCTTGAAAACAGCCCAAATGTCCATAAATACAAATACATAAACAGTGGTACATTGTACCATGGAATACTATCACAATGAACAGGAAGGAACTATAGAGGAGCTGAGTGGTGGTGAGATGAGACACACAACATGGATCTCAGAGACGTTCTACTGAGTGAAAGAAGCCAAGCTCTTTCCCACACTGCAGAATCCCATTTACATGGCATTCCGGAAAAGGCAAAACTGTAGCGATGGAAAACAGATCAGTGGGTGCCAGGGGCTGGGGGTTGGGAAGGGGCAGCAGGAAGGACTGCTCTGAGGTGGAAATGCTCTGTATCCTGACTGTAATGGTGGTTACACGAATCTATACATGTGTGAAAACTTACAGAAATGTACACCAAAAATAGTCAGTTTTGTCGTTGTTTTCATTAGTTGCTGTCGAGTCGATTCTGACTCACTGTGACCCCATGCATTACGGAGTAGAACTGCTCCATAAGGTGTTCTTGGCTGTAATCTTAATGGAAGCAGATCCCTGAGCCTTTTCTTCAGCCTGGCCCACAAGTCTGCTCCGTCAGCAGTGGAGTTTCTATTGTCCCACACAGCCTTCCAGACCGGATTGCAGGGGAGAGTAGAGACTCACTCTGGATGGGAAGGACAGGTGGAGATCACCAGGCCTGGAGAGGCCCACCATCCACCTCAGTAAGTCACACCCACCCACCCCTTTTATTCTCCCTCCCTGGGATTGAACTGAGACAGGGATTCTTACTTCTGGGCTTCCTGAGGGATGCTCTGTGGGGGAGGGGAGCATGCTGATGGGGCTTCAGGCTCCCCTCTAGCCCATTGGCGTCTGGGCCCCCTTGGGGCAAGGGTCCGTCAGTGCTGAGGTCAGCCAGGCTGATGTAGAGCCTCCCCACCGAGGTGGCTCCATCAGGCCGACAAAGGGGTCAGCTGCCAGTCATCAGCATACACCTATGGGCACCCACCAGGAAAGGGGCTCTCAGTGGGCCAGCAGCATGGGCCCTGCCCACCCACCGTGCTCAGCTCCACTGGCTCCTCACGCTGGTCACTCCATCCAGACCAGTTTCTCAGACAGTTTCGGGGAAAATGCACACGTGGAAGGTTAGAAGATGCACTGCAGCCCTGCTGCTCTTCCTCCTTCTCCATGCTCTCCCCTCCCCCACTAGCTCTCCAGAGGGTCTAGGAGGCTCCCCTGATGGGCTGGCCCAGATGCTCAACCCTGAGGGCTCTGGGCCACTTATCAGGCTGTGGTGGCTGTACTTAATTTCCCATTTTCAGTGAAAATTGTGCCAAGGAACACAAGATATCACACACTTTCCTCCCTGCCCCCAATGTATTGCAGCATCCCTAGCCCTCAGGAGGCTGCGGGTCAGGTAGCCCTGCCAGGGCAGGCACTCCTCTGCTTGCTGGCATGAGCAGCCGAGTGCCCAGAGTGCCCAGATGTTATGGATTGAATTGTGTTCTCCCAAAATATGTCAAGTCCTGACCCCTATACCTGTGGATGTAATCCTTTTTTGGCGAATAGAGTTTTCTTTGTTATGTTAATGAGGCCATATCAGTGTAGGGTGTGTTTTAAACCTAATGATTTTTGAGATGTAAAAAGAGCAGATTAGACACAGAGAAGTAAGCACAAATGAGGGAAAAGACAGATGCCATGTAGATTGCCAAGGACCCAAGGAACACTGGGGCTACAGAAGCTGAAGGAGAGACAGAGAGAGAGTGAGGGAGACAGCCTTTCCCTAGAGCCTGCGTCTTGAATCTGGACTTCTAGCCTCCTAAACTGTGAGAAAATTCATTTCTCTCCTTTTAAACCCCCCACTTGTGGTATTTCTGTTACAGCAGCACTAGATAACTGAGACACCAGGCGACTGTCACAAGTTTATGTGCGTGGGACTCTGTGTCCCTGGGCAAAGCACCCCCTCCTCTATGAGGATAGGTACACAGACTCCCCGCATGATCACTGGTAGGGGTGGGGAACTGGGCCCATGACCTCCAAGCCTGGGCCCCGATCAGAAACACACAACCATATGACACCAGTTCCTTCATATCACTTCCCCGGGCTTCCTTGTCTTCAGTCTTCTATCTGCGCTTTGTCCAGGCCCTTGAACCAACCAGCAAAACTACCTGCTACTGTCCTGAGTCTGGATCCCCTTTGCCTTGGCCAGTCCTCCTTCCACGCAGGTGGATGACCAAGTACCCTGAAGAAGCTCCAGAGCTGGAGGCTGTTCCCTCACCCCTGCTTCTCAGGGCCACGAGACTGAGCTGAGGGAGAGCTGTCAGTGCCGTGGGGCCACACAGGGTCCTCACCACTTGCTTGTGCAGCTTCTATGTGTCCTCTGTACTTGCTTGAGATTACTCCTGGCCCTGCCACTCCTGTTTTAGGACTGCAGTGTGATGAATCTCTTTTATATGGCCTTTTTAGCCGTGGTCTTGTAATTTCCACAAAATGATTGGCTGGGACTATGCAAATAAGGTGCATGGAACCCCTGCAGGAATCAAATAGTCTGCTAATGCAAAGAAGGTGTATGGAACCCTAACGGAGGGGATTAGTCAGTTTTGCCATCCTGCTAGGCTTAAAAGGACCAATCCCACAGACGCTAGGAGGGGACAGCACTAACATCAAGAAGAAAAGCTCAGAACGGAGCATGTCCTTCGGACCCAGGGTGCCTGCGCTGAGAACCTCCTAGACCCAGGAGACAGAGATCTGTAACACTGGAGATGGTAGTGGCACCAGATGGCCGCAGCGCAAGATGGCTGTGGTGGGCCAGAGCAATAGAGTACTTTTGGGCAGGAGGCTCACTGGCAAAGTGGGGTGCCTCCAGGCACTTATCAGAGAAGCTGAAGATCTTGCCCGAGCAGGGCCTGGCAGCAAAGGCCTGTCTGTGGGCACAGTCGAGAAGAAGCTGTCCTGACTGATGAACTGTAACCTTTGTTGTTCCTGTCACTTGCAAGTTGATCCTGATCCTGAATTGTAATCTGTTACTTCCCTAATAACCCCTATAATCGTGAGTATGGACTGTGAATTCTGTGTGGCCATTGCAATGAGTTATCAAACCTAGCAGAGGAATAGAGAGTGCTGTGGGAGGGACCGCTGGTGTCAGAATTGGTAAAAAGATTGGAGAGTGGAGGTATGTCTGACCTTTACCTCATAGGAATCAGCTTTGGGCTAATAGTGATTATCCTCCCCCCTAGTGAAGTTAGAGAACTTCAGACGATGCAGTGTTTTTACAATGATGACTGCTGCT